AAAAATTACAAGGTATATTATAGATAAAAGAAAAAAAAGGTTCTCTAAAAAATAGTAAAGGAGCTTTTTATCTCATTTAGCAGGTTTTTCTTTATGATTGAAAAAATTGTATAAAAAATCCTCATTATCAATACTAGATAGGATGACACCCTTCTGCACACCATTGAATCGCTTCAAATGTTTAATGCATTTTTTTTATCAACTAGCCTCATCATAAAACTCGGCTAAATATGAGTTGCTTGTAGCCATTTAAAGACAATATGACAAAAAAGCTTACTGTAATGCCTGACTTACTCATGAAAAGTAGCAACAAGAATGGCACATATGACGTCAATAATTATGCTGAATAATGCCATCATTTGAAGAGAAAACAATGTTTAATCCCCATAACAAACAAAATGCGCAGTTTGAGCTGATGCCACCTATACGTAATGCTATTCATGCTACTGGGGAAAGCATGAACTTTGGTAGCACACACTATACTATGTTTGCCACCAACCGTGCGTGATAACCAATCTTGGTGCCCTAGTTAGTATCACCTTTCTTCATTATGACAACCTAAGATTTATCTTTTGCTGAAATTGCTCCACTTTCTTAGAGCTGGACCATCCTTACACTAATTTCTACAAATTGTGTATTTTTGCAACTGAACAAGGCCTCGTGTTAATTCCCCCTTCAAGGGATTTCACATGAAAATCCTTCTCTCATTGATTGTTTATGGTTTTCTAAGATAAGATAGCATGAAGCTCTCATGTTTTTATTGACTGTGGAAATCTCTTTCAGTATACAACATATAAAACTCTATTGTTCTTTCCTAAATATCTAATTTATTATACAACAACAGCATCAAGCCTTTATCCCACTACGTGGGGTCGATTACATGAATCTTTTTTCTCCATTGCGTCATATTAAGAGTCAAATTCTCGTTTAAATTTAATAAATAAAGGTCATTTCTAATATTTTCTAACCAAGTCTTTTGAGGTATACCTCTACCTTTTTTAACATATGTCAAATCTAATACATCTACTCTCCTAACGACATCATCAAAAGACTGCTGTTTTATATGACCAAACAATCTCAAATGACTCTCTCTAATCTTATCTGCCACTGGAGCTACTCCAACCTTTTCACGCATATGCTCTTTTTGTATCTTGTCTCTAACAATAAAGCCACTCATCCACCTGAGCATCCTCATCTCTCTTGATGGTCAACATTCTGCGCCTTAAAGCATTGCAAGTCTCACAACCATTATATAGAATTTTCCCTTAAATTTGAGGGGTACCTTCCTATCACACAACAAGTCCAATGCATTCTTCCACTTCAACCATCCAACTTGAACTCTACTAATAATATCCCCATCCATTTCACCATCAATTTGAACAATAGATCCAAGATATTTAAAATGTGTACTCATATTAATGACTTGATCGCCCAAATCACAATCCCTCCTAGATCTATTATTACTAAAATTATACTCCATGTATTTGATTTTAGATCTACTCAAACAAAAACCTTTAGACTCTAAGGTTGACCTCAATAATTCAAGTTTACCTTCAACGCTCTCTAGTTTTATCAACAAGAAAAAATACCTAATTTATTATACAACAACAACAACAAGCCTTAGTCACACTAAGTGGGGTTGGCTACATGAATCTTTTTTCTCCATTGTATCCTGTTAAACGTCAAATTCACGTTTAAATATAATAAAGAAAGATCATGTCTAATATCTTCTAACCAAGTCTTTTAGTTCTACCTCTATCTTTTTTAATGTGAGTCAAATTTAATACATATACTTTCCTAACCGGGTCATCAGAAGGTCACCGTTTTATGTGACCAAACCATCTAAGGGGACTCTCTCTAATCTTATCTTCCACTGCAGCTACTCCAACCTTTTCACGTATATGCTCATTTCATATCCTATCTCTAAGGGTAAATCCACTCATCCACCTGACCATCCTCATCTCTGTAACACTTAACTTAGTATTATACTTCTCTTTTAATGGCCAACATTCAACACTATAAAGCATTGTAGGTCTCACCACCATCTTATAGAATTTTCCCTCAAGTTTGAGGGGAATTTTCTATCACACAACAAGTTCGATGCATTCCTCCACTTCAACCATCACTCTGAACAATAGATCCAAGATATCTAAAATGTATACTCTTATTAATGACATGATTGCCCAAAGTCAAAATTCCCTCACTAGGTCTCTTACTACTAAAATTACACTATATATATTCAATTTTAGATCTACTCAAGCAAAAATCTTTAGACTCTAAGGTTGACTTTCATAATTCAAGTTTACCTTTAACTCCCTCTCTAGTCTTATCAACAAGAAAAATATCATCAACAAAAAGCATACACCAAGGTACATCCTCTTGCAAATATCTAGTGAGAACACCATCGATTAAAGCAAAAAGATACGGGCTTAGGTCATCCTTGATGTGGGAAAAATACTTGGTCAAACCACCTTGTGTTTGAACACAAGTAATAGCTCTTGCATACGTATCTTTAATAATTAGAATATAAGCGTTATTAACTTTCTTTTTCAAGAACTCTCCATAGCACTTCTCCTAGAATTTTATCACATGCTTTCTCTAAATCAATAAATATCATATGTAGATCCTCCTTATTCTCTCTATTTTTCTTCATCAAACCTCTTAATAAATGTATGGCTTCCATAGTGGACCTACCCGACATGAATCCTAATTTATTATAAACCACTAAAAATTATAACTTTTGCTTTAATTACTATAATCTTCACAAGACTTATGGCTTTCTTATAACCGTTGTAAACCTCAATAATATTATTTTATAGCTACTTATAAAAAATATAAGTGAAGAAGACCTAACATTAGAATTTCCTTAGAAGTTTGAAATAGATGAAGGTTTTGTTTGGCAATGTTGTCTTGTATTTATGTCATATAGCATTAAGTTGTGGTGTACTAATAAATAAAATAAATGACTTTGTTCAACTCATTTTGTAAAAAATTAGTTAAATGGTCAAAATTTGTTGTGCATGCATGAATTGATTGAATGGCCAAAATGAATATAATATGAATTTCATACAAATATAATAAGATCCATATCTTAATTAGTCCTCATTTTTTTCTTCTACCATTTTTTCCTTCTCTTTGGCTGCAAAAATTATCGTTAGAACAAGTTTTGCCACATCTCTAGGAAATAATATGTATCTCGTCCGAGTATTGAACATTCCTTGAGTGTCAAATATTGATGTAAGATGTGTTTCACCAAAAATCAAACTACATATCAACTTTCTTGATAAGAAGAAGAACGAAATAATTAACCACAAAGGAACAACCTAAATCACCACATTTAATTGGCCAAAAATCCTTTGGTTTATGTGAGAAAAATCTTAGGTTAGAGGGTTTCAAAGTCTGATCATTTCCATTTCAATTGAGTGAAAAAAATTAGAGACTCATGTATCATATATTTTGTCTTCAATAAGTAAGAAATGCTTTCATTAGAGGGTGAAAGACAAAATATATGGGGAAAAATTTAGGTGGTTTGGACAAGTGTATCAAAGAGTAAAGGATGCACCAAGAAAACAAATAGAAAATTTATGTGGTGAGATAATAGACCAACGATAAAATTGCCAAAAAGTTATGAAAAAATAGAGCTATCACCTCATTTAAACATAAATAGGAATGAGTGGAGGTGGGGATTCATAAATCTAACCTCAAATAATTTGAAAAAAGGCTTATGATAATGATGATGGTAATAATCATAATCCTTTGTATAAGTTGCATCTATCATGAACAAACAATTTATGTAAATCATCTATAGCAAAAGATTGTTCCATTTACCATTTAACCACCAAATTGTGCAGCAATAATCCATTGCTTGACTTTTCTAGGAGTCAGAGACAAGAAAAGACGTCTAATTTCAAATCATTAATCTTCTTGAAGAGTATACCACTTTGTCAAAGAAAAAAAAGTACAGCCAAGGTCTAAAATGATGCTTATGAGAAGAAGATTGTAGGGCTATAAATAGTGTTCATGATTCCTTCTAACTCATACCACAAAACCGTGGAGGTAGAATAATGATGTTGCAGCTTCATATGCATCTAGTTCTTCTAAGCTTACTAGCAAAACAAACAATTTATAAAAAATAAAACAATATAAAATGTGCACCAGAGTAGAACAAAACAGCATATTTAACAGGAATTAGGATATATGGATGACAGTTTGAGTTACTGTCATCTGAACTACAATATAAAGAAGATTGCAGCGTTATCCAAATTCCAAATGTTATTGCACTCTATCAGTTGTATTTTGAATTTGAAGATTGCAGCCCCATTTATCAACATCGATGACCATTATAGCATAAGGAATTATATTGAACAAGAAAAGCTCAAATAAAAATTTAAAAAAAAACCTCACAAGCATACAAAATATAGTACGCAACCAACTAGACAATTCTCTTGTCCATCATCACAAGAAAGAATTCAGAGTAGCATGAACTCGGTATCATCTAGATAAATAAATCTAAACTTGAGTAAAGGGTGAAGGGCGAATTCAACCAACACATCATATAACGGGAAAAAAAATTAAATTTACATCATCAATCCATTATGGAACCAAATGAAAAAAATAAGGTAAGAAAATTAAAAAAAAAAAATCAAGCAAACAAAGATCAATCTATTCGAGAACACCCAATCGCTCCATGAACACAATTGCAATCCTAAATTGAATTAATACTTTTCAAACAAAAATCCAGAAATTCCCCACAGGAACTCTGCACTCGATCAGCCCATGCAAAACCCTAAGAAACTTGCATCGGCGGTATTCTCATACAAGACTTAGTACATGGATCATTAAACCGGGCAAACAGAAAGCACATATCATAGATTCAACCGTTCTAGCAACTAAATTTGCAAAAAGAAACCTTGTATAAGTAAACCAAAGATCCGAAAAACAGAATTCAAATATGACGTAATCCCGAACCCTAATAGCTGAAAAGAATCAAACAAAGGTACCTGAGACCTCCGTGAATGCCCGATTCGACATTCCTCTTTCTCCCCTCCTACTCTTCGAATCCTGAACCTAATAGGTCGGACTTCCAAACGCCATATTAGAAAAATTACAACTTTGCTTCCTTCCTCGGAACTTTCTTAAGCGCGTGTGGTTTTGTTCAAGTGATGAATAATTAAATTAAACTTATTGAATTCATTATTTATCCGATTTTTAGCTTAATGAGTAATTAGATTTAGATTAATTGAGTAATACATTTATTTCTAAACTAGTAAGTAGATAATTATATTATTTTGTAACTATTTTATGGAAAATTTTATAAAGTACTTTAAAATAAAATTTAGAACTATATGATGATGGGAAATCCATTATTTGTTTAATTAAAGTAGATGGATTATTAAATTAAAGTAAGTTATAACTCTTAAATTAGCTAGATTTTAAATTACATTAATTGATTAATTTAAATGTGTAATTACATTATTTTGAAACAAATGTATTTTAAAATATTTAAAATTAATTTAAATAAGTTGTTGAATTATATGATGATGCAATAATAATTGATTTTTAATAAGATGCGGAATTTAAAGATAATTAATATGTTTTGATTTTAATTATGTAATTGAAATTGGGAGGTAGTAAAATAATTTTGTTACTTTCTAAATTTATAAAATATTATTTCATTATTTTTTTTAATATTTTGAAGAATTTGATGAGTGTAATTATCTTTTAATTTAAAGCATCTATATTATAGTAATATAATTTTGTTGATTTCTAAATTTATATGTAAAAGTGATTGCTATTTGCCAAATCATCATTAGCATACGCTTCTATAGTTGTTATATGTAAAGTCAGTAAAGTTCTTTATTTGAAGTTTTTGCTTACATAGACCTATCAAATTATGTGAGCTATAAAATAGAATAGTCAAATCAACTACACATACCTATTTTATTATGTGAGTTGTATGTTATTAAGAAATATGCTAATATGAATTTAAATTTTATTTTACATCAATGACATGCTTAAGCTTTGCTATAGAAGTGTTGCATCTCCAAGTGAAGTTGATCATTGAGAACAATTCCTTCTATCAATTAATTTGCTTTGGCACTTGCATGCTAAAGCGATGATGATACACATCTATAGGAGATGAGATTACATAAATGCATTTGGTTGGAAATTTTTAGTACATAGATTTTTTGAATTTGATTGACATTTGATTGGTGCTAACTTTCTTCAATCGGTATCATGTTCTACGACATGAAGGAGGGGGTGCTATTTTAGATGATGCTCAAAGGACAACAAGTGATATTGAGCATTATATTCTTTACCATCCATGGAATTCAAAGGAGGATGAATTTATGTTGGAATTCTACAATAAACTGATGAATAATGTACTGTTTGAAGGTAAGAAAACGAAGTTTTAAATGGAACATATTGGTAAAACCTCTAGTATGAGCTTGAGTTTCATTTTGAATGTTGTCCAACTCAAACACAACTTCAAGCTCATGTGCATTTGTTGCTTAGAAAAAGTAAGGCTTTGTAATCTTCTTTATGTTATCTTTACCTATTGGTGTAATTTTGTGTTACTAATATTAAATCTTATATTGCTTTTTTCATGTGTATTTTATATCATTGTGGAGTAAGTTAGTTCCTCTTTGTTTTGAAATTTTAATTTATTTTTCATCAACACTATAGTGGAAGAGTGTTTGTTAACATTTGAAATATACATTTCATTAAGAGCATGATATTATTTATAAATATATTTAGATAACAAAATAAATTTATTTTGAAATAAGTGAATATAATACCCTCTCTTTATAAGAGTTCTTAAATTTATTTTAAATTAGTTGTGGATATGGAAAATGCTTTTAATGAAACACACATTTTTTTCCTAAAGAAGTGTTAAAATTTATTACAAATAACACTATAGTAAAGAAGCCCAAGTTCGTGTAAGATATGATGCACGATAACTAGTAACAAATGATACATATATCACCTCTGTTGTGCTCTACAAGGTAGCATGTCTATGCTTATGGTGTAATTTTTAGGTGGACGAATAGGTCTATCTCATAGTACATGATGTTCTTCAACATCAACCTATGCGTGCTCCTCCACTTCTTCACATGTAAGATTTGTAGCATGTTAGAGAGAGGTTGGACTCAACCATGTAGGTGTCCTAGCATACCCCTATGAAAAATCACCTACATCACATGGCCCTCAACACACACTAGAACTTTGCCATTGTTCGTACTGGCTTCTTATACCAACATTTTCTATTGGATTAGTGAGAAAATATTATGGTCATCTTAGGACAGGAAATGAAGATTAACTGTGTTGATGTTTGAGGGGCTAACATCTGAACTTGAAGTACAAACTATATTTATTAGCTATGTGATTTGGTACTTCAGAATATCGAGTGTTTGCAATGTTTACATTTGCCTCCACATTACACTGTTTAGTTCCTCAAACTTGTTTATGAATTATTGCATCTCAATGTCATAATCTTGCCAAAAAATGGTTGGAATACTTCCTTTGTCTATAGGAAGTAATTCCACTACAAGTTGAAATTGAAACCAAGTGATCGGTATAATACAACATGATTATTAAGTAGGAGTATTTCATATTGAGTACTCATTACTAGAGTCATTCAATTTGTGCTCTTACATAGTAAGTATAAGGTGGTTGAGATGTTGCCTTCAGTAGGTATACTATAGCCCATGATATACACCACCGCTTGTAGCATTTTAATGCATGATCTCCCACATCTACTCCACCTATACCTTGCACAACAAATACTCCTCAACCCTCCAACATAGTAACATACTACTAATGATAAAGAAGCCAATCAACATCTTCTTTGTCCCATCCATCCACCCTATCAAAGTTAGATTCCATATGAAGAACATCTAGAGTCAACCTGCACCCAAACTGTCGAATAACCCTATTAAGTAAGTTCCATTCAACTCTCTTCCAACATATCAGTAGTACCCGAGCCATCCAAATAACTCCCAAGCATATCTGTGTAACATGACGACAAAGTTCTTCTCCATATGGCTCCCAAATGACCTGAATCAATATTTGTTAAGCTTATAATCCAAAGGAGCTTGTTTTGTAAAATCATAAAATAGCCAAATAGTTCATTTTAGTCGTACCTAACTCTAGAGTAAACCATCTAGTTCATCCATGTACATGTCAAGATTTCTAACTGGTCTCTCTAGGCCATTCCTTATTCCACCTGTAAGAACAGGTTAACAATTTTGTTAGTTAATTGCTTATTGTAAGAACAAGTTAAGAATTTTGCTAGTTCAATGCATATTTATTACTTGGATCCTACACTAATGCCTCAAGTGTTTATTGGAAAGGAACATGAAGACTGGGTCTTCACACATGGATATGCTCCCATGACCAATATATAATAAATGAACACAACCAATAATCTTGGCCCTATTAGGCCTCGAAGCTTCTGATAACTCCATATTAAGATAGGCTAATATTTGTGCTGCTAATGTAATAAGTTCTAAATATTATTATGTCCTCTAATAATGGTAGATATTTGATATGAATCTCAGATTCTCAATTGTCTAAGAGTAGGAAACACCTAATCATAAATAATATGTACATGTGAACATGTTGCCAAAAATCTATCTCATTTAGGCCACCGGAAGACTCTTGGTAGAACGTCCAATGAAGCCAACTTAATGGCATGCATGTTTCTTCATGTGATTGCCCCATCTTGAACTTAGAAGTAATGCTTGGGATGACTGGGTCATGCTATATAACATCAGGTTTTGGATGGGTACATTGCAAGTCATCGCAATAATCTAGCCAGCTCAACCATTGTTTGCCCACCCCAACCACTAATAGTTTAATAACTGCATTTCCATCAACTTTTATACCTATGAGCATCGATACATCATGTAATGTTACAATTATCTCACCAACTGCAAAATGAAATGTGTTGGTATGTGGGAAACATCACTCCATTAAGGATATCAATAGATGATTATTGAGCTGAATGTATAATAGCTGTATCACGCACTCGATACCAGCCATTCTTATAGCAATCTTGAACCTTGGTTAAGTCATTGGTCAATTTTGAACTATAAGGATGTATACATATGGTTCCAAAATTATTCCTTGCAAAAAGCAAAATATAATTGCATGGCATCTTGAAAATTTTTAGAGCAAAATTTTGGAACATACACTACAACCCCACCTTATTGGGATGAGCCACTCTATGAATACCCAACAGAGAGGTTATGCTATGATGAACATCAACTAAAGATGGACCATATGCAATTTTTTCATCACCTGGTTGTCGCCTGATTTGGTGCCAACTCATTAGTTACTTTTTATACATTTGGGTATTTTCTAAGTCTTACACCCCTAAGCAAGTGAGAAGATGAAATGCACATTAAATATACAATTTCAACATACTTCTTATTGCTTATATCCATCAGCCTCATGGTGCATGGCCATCATGTCCATTGTAATTAAACAAGTTAACTCATGAGATCGGTCAAGCTAAACTCAATAAATGGTTGATGAAATGAGATTGATGAGCTTATTAAGCCAGGCTTAAGCTAATATTGACTTGACTTGTTAGTTCATAAGATGGGTCTTTAAAAAACATCAATAGAACATAAACATAAAATATATTAAAATTTAAGAGTGTAAGTTCAAAGTTATTAAAAATAATTAAAAGTATATCTCACTTCTTTATATCAAATGATTTCTTATTCCTACTCAAATTCCTCATTCTTTTTATCATATTATTATAACTATTGTTTAAGTGGGAATTATTTTTTCACTTTCTTAATAAAGTTGCCAGCTTTATGACAAACTTGCACTTGTTGAGTTGAGCATGAACTCAATCTTAAACTCAATTAATGAATCAAGCTCAAGCTCAAAGTGAGGTTGGCTCGAGTTTGACTCAATTAGATTACACACCTATATCCATGATGTCTTTGCTTGGGAAACTACTCGCTATAAACTTTCTTCTGTCATATGTCATTTATTTTTATACAAGAGTAAATGAGAAGCATGAAAATGTGCATGTCCTTTTCTTTCGTGTTGACATAGCCCATCAGCTCTAGCCATCTTTCTCTTCCGACTTATCATATGTGTGTAGCCTTTCATAGCAAGACATAAAGGATGTCATAAAT